AACACAAGTCAGCCAAGAGAATGGCACATGTAGTTCCGATAACTATACAAATAGTTGGTTGGAAGATTTTACTACTAAACTCGACGATGTTATTGTCAAGCAGAAAGTCAGTTGTCTTCCATATTTCACGATAAATGTTCCAGTATAATTCACAAATACAAATTGGTACTGACGTTCACAAAAGTAGTTTTGTAGGACAACTAGACGAACAATCAAGATGTAGAATCCAAAATAAATGAGGGAGGTCTGTAGGTATCTGAATAATTGCAATACTGAAGCACCATCTGCTAATATTACATGTACCTCATTGGAGTTAAATGTAGGTAGGGTTTCCATCGTTACCAAGAAGAAAATATCTGCTGGCATGAATATATACAGTTTTAGCATTGTACGTAATGGAATCGTCGATTCTATGAGTTAAATGTCAGTGGAGTTCTTTATATTTCGACTTTTCTCAAGAAAAACAAATGCGTCCGGTTGCTCTATTCATGGCGTAATGTAAACAGAATATACTCTCAATCACTATAAAAAGACTCTGGGAAATTACATTTTGAGATTCAGTTGCCCCGGGAAAGTAAAACTCCATAGGTCACAAATGTCAGCTTTTTATAGTGAAATTGTCCCTTGTGCGCACTAGCATACCGAAAATAAGTCGTGACATTTGAAACAGGTAAATGATGACAGTTGCCAGGGGAAAGTAATCTAGTTGTAAAATGAAATACAAAGAATCACGATGGCAATGGAGTACAAATGTACGGGGAAGCACTTCTATGGGTCTCTATGACAACCTGCAGCATCTATTTTCTCAATCAATTTGTAAATTAACTTTTCTCATATTCTCAAGTAATTTATAATTTTTGAATGAGGTCAATGCTTAAAATAATACTATTAATACAGAAAGGGGTCTTAAACTTTCAACGAATCTATGGGATGAGGAAAAAATAAACCACCGAAATATTAACAGCATCTTAAAATCAAACTCAATCAAACGAAAAATCGATTTACCTGCAGACTCTTGAAAAAGTACAAGGAGAATAAGACCAGGTATCCCGGAAGAGTAGGCGTTTTCTGCTTCATTCACAACACCCCTCATGTAAATCATGGTCATTTTAATGTCACGTTATCAACTCGAGGACAAAGTAACGACCATATACCTACTAGGCAATCTAACCAGCATCAAACATGTATAACTTAAGAAGGAAAAGAAGAATATTTTCAATTATATTATTTTCTATGACCAAAATCTTGGCTTTTCCCAACCATACTCGGAGGAGTTTCGAATATCCCTACTACTTAATGCTCTACAAAAGACACATAAGTGAATATAAAATTAAATACAGTATAATACATGTTTATCTTCTAGGATTCGTTCCCTTAAAGCACTGGTCAGGCATGAGATTGGTAACTGTATATAAAGTCTGAAGCGAAATTGCTGATGTGAAGTGTATTTCCGTTTCAAGCATTTTCAACATTTTCTAACTTAACATCTTGCAATACTGTATCTCAGTTTGTATTACAAGGTGCTGTTAACTCGTGTGTCTGTTGTAACATTTTCCAAACGGCGTTACAATATTTCAGAAATCAGACTTCTTTTTACGAAACTTTTGAAAAAAGATAAACTACATTTTTGTTCTTTCTATATGAACGTTGTTAATCGTTACAAATAGTTTACTTTAGAATTTTTAATATATTAGAAATTTCGCAGCATTCGATATTGGCTTTTTTGCAATTACGCCATTTTCAAAACGAACAGTTTGGTATGGTATAACGTTAAAAGACTAGCGATAATAGCCAGAAATCGTAAGTCATATCAACAATGCCATTTGTTTCTAAAAACAGATTGCAGACATAATGATTAACGCTGCATAGAGCCTTATGTCATTATAACTACAATTTAGTAGAGAAAAGATGATTTGTACGGCGTTCAGATGTATTGGATGAAAGGGATCGTCAATTTTCCAATGTCTCGGTAGGTCCAGCTAGCTTCCGCTTCCCAGCATGTATTACTGTCTGCTTATGTCCCAGGGTAGTGTAACGCCAGGGTTTGCTCACAGTCAATAAAGTGTAACTTGGTGGGGTATCCTGCTGGGCTTCTTCGGTAGTAGGCGGCACCAGTTCCACACTATCACAAGATAGTTTACATGAACATATCACAGATTCACAAAAGCACACGAACGCAACACACGCAATTGCCTTGCATACATACACGTGGAGCACTCTTCCGTAAATAACGATGCTATTACAGTAATATGATGTTCAGCAGTATAAAACCAAACCAAGCCCGCCCTCCCTTCGTTCTACTCGAGTCGAGTTATTACATCAGCGATATCTTCAGTAAGTAATTTTTACATTTTATTTTCTACAATGGAAGTTGACTACAGCACGTGCAGAAGACGATTAATGGTTTTGGAGACCCCCTGAGGGATTATCTTCTCCAGATTTAAGATCTCCATTCGTTGCCACGGTACACTTGGTACAAACTACCTGTATATTCACTTTTCTCAGCAGTTCTGGTATTGATTGACGCGGGCTCGCGCGACGAAGCCGATCGAGATTGATTTGAAACACGCATGAGTATTTTACGACACAGGGTCGCTGAAAGACAACATGTGTGTTCATTCCATTTCCCCTCCAGTTAGGATGTATGAATGTGTGTATATATGTAAATTCATTCTGATCAAAGACGAAATTCTCCTATCACCTTAAATTACCATTTTGTCCAAGGTTCTTTCAGTAAATCTGCTTCGCCAGTCCTCAACACTTCCATAGACGTTAAAAAAAACCTGCGCCAGTGAGTTCCGTCCACATGCCTGTTCCAGCTATTTGAATCTACTGGCCACGTTCAGCTAACAAGTCCATCATTACCACGAGAAAATCCTGCTTCATTGTGACGTTTACTTACTGGTGATTTTGGCAGGAAACTGAACACTAAGGAAGCCAAGCTTCAAAATTTGATTGAATGCGTCTGATTTTTATTGAAGGATTCATTTATAGAAAAAATGTGATATATGCAGCACGTGATTGACTTGTAGATGCACATATATCACTAACTATGACGTCATCATGAAGAAGAATAAAGTATATGTCTAAATTTGATGGATTTCCTTTAGACTACGTCTGCGTCATCAGTACTGATATAAACAAAAGATGATTTCGGTTGTATGATTTACTTTACCTCGCTACAGGAAACTATCGGATAAACAGTAAATGGAGTGAAAAATAATCATTAAAATATAATGAAGTCGGTCCATTAGAGACGTAGTAAAATTCCGCCGTACCTTTCGAAGTAGGAATATAGTGATTTGGAGTTTCAAGCGTGATAGAAGACACTGCTTTCGTTTTATCAAGCATCGCACAGTGTTTCATTAAACATCCCAATGTTTCCAGCTGCTATTAAAAGTGCAAATGGATGTAAATCTGATGGGAGATATCTGTTTTTAGGTAGATGATTCAGCGCCATATATGGAAATTGTATGTTACTAGAACTGTGCTTTAATGACCTAATCCATTTTTGATATTTATGTGACGACATTATTTCTACAAAAAACTGGAATCTTTTGATATACATCATATATTATTTATTAGAAGTTTCCCCAGTCAGATTAATACACTGCTCCAGGCATCTTTATACACACACTCTGTCTTCTCTGGAGACGTTTCAGAAAGAATCGAGGTTTGGCTGTGCATACGAGCAAGCGACACTTAACCATACACCACACGGCTATTACCATGTCGTCATGAAACACTCTCCAGACACATAGTGACAGAAGAAATCGAACATGTTGGAATTTGTCTATCTTGTGGCTATCTTGGACGGATGTTAAATTCAACTTATATTTGTAATTGCCTGTAAGATTTACGAAAATCGCTTTAAAGTGTACAGCTGTAAAATATTCAGGGACCACAGAGAGCACCATTTCAATCGATAATAAGGACGTACTCCGTATCTGAAGAATAGGGCAACTTTCGTTTTATGTGATAAAACTGTTACAGAGAAAAAAAGAACTCGCTGCCGTTGGAACAACAACAGGTTCGGAACAAATGGTATTGAACATCGCAATTCTGGGAGTAGTTTTATTAATGGAACAACTGAAATACCCCTTCATCATGTGATCATAGATGCGAGATTCTGTAATGGAATCTGAGAAAAATCTAGAAAGTAGGAATTAAATTTAAAGAGCCTGCTGATTTGAATTAATGAGACTCACAGTGTCGGGAACTAGATAAAAGGAAACTGTTAAATTACACGAGAAGATGCTCTAAGATTACGTAACAAAGATTAAGGACGTGGAAATATAGTAAAAAAAAAATTCAATATTTGAATTAATATCAATCTATGGTTATCATCGTTTCTTCTCGTTCGAGGATGATATAATTTTAATCAAATGCGCGTGAGCTTTGCAATTACAGTATTAAGCACGCTCAAAAGTTGTACACAGATCACTGTCACAATCAATAATACAAAAAGTTGGATGATCGATAATCGAGAACATCTTTCGATTTTGTAATAATTTCTGATAAATCAGGCAAAAAAAGATTATATCTTTCTGCCTTCACACTAAATTAGAAAGTTCTGTTAACACGCTCGGAGATAATTTGTAACAGCTCAATAACGCATACCGATAGTTGGACGAACTCTTTGAGATAATTTGCAAATAAAAAATGCTGACATAGTTTTAATGATAGGACATTGAGGATGATGACGATGCCACACAAAGTATATTGTTTCATTTAAATGTAAATGTGGTGAGAAACTTGAAGGAGTGACGTTGAATAAGATAAGTTGGAATTAATGTCTTTATTTCAAATTTTAGTGATAACAACGGCAACTGCTTATCTGTTTATTTACAGAAAACTTTATCAGAGCTACTGAATTGTGTCAATCGTAAATGGTGCTTACCTTTATTTTGGTGTTCAGTAAGATTAAAGTTATATTTAGTGCTGAGTGATAGTGTTTTTCCAAGGTGCAGTTCCAGATTAAGCACCGAACACGTGTAACCATGTTGGATGAAAGAATAATTCTTGTTCATCCGGATGGCCGGACACAGAGTATTAAGGAATACGTTCACGAGCTGGTCAAAGGAGCACAGGTTCGATTGAATGACGGGAAAGATCAATGGGACAAGAAGAAACATAAGAACGTGGGTATCTCAAAATCCAAACAAAAGGTAAGTAACATTACCGGAAATAAGCAAAGAATGAGGTGATATTTAGACAGAAGGAATAGACAAAAAATTTGGGCTACGGGCTAGGACCTAAGGTTGAGTTTGGGATGAGTGATAGTTTTGCTAAAAAACACAATAAAAGTGATAAAATTTTAGATTTTGATAATTGCAATATCATAAGCAAAGGAAATGTTTATTATACTGTTATACCAGTCTTCAAATATACGATTTATCAATCTCTTTAAACACCATCTCCTTTGACATTTGCTTTGGACGTCCGTTGAGGCTAGGAAGGCAATAGGTTCTGTCTCCTCACCGAGTCGCATCTTTGTCTTTACAGTCGGTACTTGTTGCATTCTGCTTGACCATCAGCATTCGGTCAGTAGGCAGGTGGTCAGCACATTGTCTGTACCTGTACCTTGTCCAGTTTGAGACTGCAATTTTCATGGAGTCCGTCTTGATCTTTGTCCCTGCCGCGAAGACGTACACATAACCATCCCCTCAAATCCACGACCCTTCAAAGTTGAGATATCTATTACTCATTTGCTGCGTTCATCTAAACAACTTTCTGTGCATAAATGGACGGCAGATTGCCGACTATCTTTTAATCGACCGAATATATTTTACAAGATCTAGACTAACAAGATTTACAATATGAAAAGCAAATGTTGTAGCCTGTACAAAACGGCAAGTGGATTCCACTTAAATTTCTATTATTTCATTCTTAACGTAAATAAGATACATCTTTAATATGAATTGTGCACAAACAAACATAACGTATCTTTTTTGGTGTTGACCTGTTTTTATTTTTTGTAGCATTTTCTGGGTTGACTTACTTGCTCCATGACATGTGATAAATTCCATCAAATTTCAGAGTAGCATGACTGCACCTCGATCTTTATACACCTTTAATTGAGGATGTAAAATGATATCTTAGGAATCATATTAAGAAGTCGAGTTACATACCTTTATAACGAATATCTCGGAGCCTTGGAAATCAATTTGTAACAAATATATTCAAACCGATTTGAATTTCATCGAAATTTAAGGTAAGATTTACCCGGATTAATATAGATTTACCTGCTGATTATCGTCGAATATGAAGAAAAGGCTTACCTGTCTGAAGCAGCTGGTCTTATTCTTCTTGTCCTTTGTCAGGAATTTCCATTCCATGTAATTCTTTCCTTTTTGTGACTCTTTTTTTTACAAGTCTATGATTAACTCATACCTTATATGTCATAACTGTTAAAAATAGTAATGAAAAAAAAGAAAATATTGTACAAAATCTCGCAACTTCATGGCATATTTCTTTGCAAAAGGAGATGCTGATATTCCGATAAGCAAATTGAACTGTTTCAATTTAAACAAATAGCTGTTTCGTCCTTCTAGGACCCATCGATGATTCTTGTAACCTCTAGCGTTGACATATCAAGACGAGGAAATAAAAAATGTTGATGTATGAGATTGGAGGTACACTAGGATTGTACAGACTGCTAACCAATGAATATCATCTTTTAATTCAAACAAAAGACACAAAAGTGAATGCTATTTTCCATACAAATTTAGAGTTAGATACAGTAGAGCCAAACAATGAATTACACTGCATCATACACTTTTATATATCAGATAATTTAAGGACAGTGTCAAGTCATATGTATATATTCCAAACCGTGTCACTAGTCTTGGCATGCAGGTTACGGCAAACCTCGGGAACTTAAGAAAACTTTGATTTAGAGTCAGATACAATAAAGTCAAACAATTAAGTAAAATGTAATGTATACCTGCTCATTTAATTATTTTCTAATATTTACCGGTAATCATATTAGTGCCAAGTACATGTTGATTTTGAAACGTGCAACTATCCTTAAGAAGTTAGACTTGATATGCAGACTTCTGAACAACCTTGTAAAACTAAATCCTCCGGCAGTTTGCCCCTTAGTGCTTTGCTCCAAGCATTGTACAAAAGATATTTTTGAACATCTCCTTTCAGCACAAATTTAGCAATAGGTAGCTTGCTGAATAATGACTCAAAGAGTACTACTGGGCTTTTGGCGGAAACAAGGCAATCGGCCTTTTTTGCAGTCCTATTTTGTCTACATTTCAATTGATAACTTTAAATTTAGTGTCCTAACTTTTGGCATCTATCTTTGTAAAAACATACAAGATCTCTGACTGTTTCGTATCTTATATTCACGATTTGGTAGAGAAAAAATAATTAATCACTTTTGTCTGATGTAGACAGACTCCCTTGGAAAATGATTTTAGCACATCTTTTGTCTAGACTGTTTAGCGCTATGAAGAATTTCTCAGCTGTTTTCTTCTTTATCTCCCCGTAATTTATACCACGTATTGATATTGTAGGGACAGTAAACACTCCGTTCACATTACATAGGATTGGTATCAATATCCAAACTGTGATTAAAATAATAAGATGGAATAGAAGCCTTTAATGATTTACTGATTTCTGTATAGGTTGAGATAATAAGAGACAAGATTGTTTGAAATGTGACCAGGAACTACATTGCTGTCGATATCAGTCACGTGATATGACAAGCTAATGATCTCCTGGATAATGTTCCGGTCAATTACTGGATCGTTGTCACTGTACTTTGTCCAAAATAAGTATCTTTTAATTCGAACGACAGGAAGCTTAATAAACCCATTTATCTACAAATTGAACGATGTTTCACACTCAATCTAGGTTAATTGATTACAGAACTTAAAGAAATTTGTTTCTATATGTCATTCATTCTTAATGTTGTTCTTGTTTACGTTTATTTATTCATTTAATTAGTTATTATCTATTTTTATTTATATTTATTTATATATTTGCGATATGTCTCAACTTTAATGGTATTGAGAGTATATAGAATTCGGTCTATTTTTATCCTCGGCGATTTACACAACAAACTTGAATTTTAGGAAAGAATGATGGTATATTCATGCTTTTTATAGCAGGTGACTGCCAATCTTATTCTCATATGAGAACGTGAAATTACTTGCTTGGATTTAAACGGCGGGTGTCATCGACGAAGCGGAAGATACGATATCCTCTCACAGAGTTATGTAACACGTATTCCTGTCAGTTCTTTTATGACTTCATTCCTTGACGGATTTGGATTAAACTACATTATTCAAACATAGTTAAGCAAATATCTTGGGAGAACATAAATTTCAGGGTTAAATGTCAAAATCGTCGTTTCTATTTTTAGAAATGCAATGTCCGCACTCTGATGACCCCATTCCTTGGCGTATCTTGATCAAATTTTACAGGGTGACCGTAAGGGGATTTCGATCGGTTCCGATGTCTTATCATTATTGTACTTTTTATAATGTATTTTTTGTTAAAATTTTATTCTAATTACATCGAATTTGAATCTGAATTACGATTTTGTTTACATCTCGTTATTATGTTGTTGCTTTCTGTACAATGTGTAAAAGACAATCCCTAGCCGATTCCGAACTCCATATTTGTGTTTATCCAATTTTGTTGTAATGAGAAGATACCGTGACAAATTTGAATTTCTCTTCCGTTGTGATTTTGGTTGAACGTAATTAATGAATTATTTTAAAAACCTCAATAGTAACGAATTTTAAGATAAAAGATAACCGAAAACGAAACGTTTCAGAATCAATTGTCGCCACAGTAACTTAGTAATAAGAAAAAAAAAAAAAAATTCTGCTTTGGCAGAAATAATTGAACATGTTCTGTACGGTTTTGCATAATTTCCTTTTAAAAGAATGTATAATGATGCCTTCTTTTAAACAAACATTAGCATGACAATAAGAATACGTCTTTGTCCTTTTAGAACATTTCCAATATGGCGCTTTCGCATGCGATACATTGTACAAGGTGCTGTGTTTCTTACTCCTAAACATAGGAGGTATATGTACTTTTTCCTGGGAGATTGTGTCGACTTGGCGTGAGTTCACTACAGAAATAATTGATGAGAGTAGACTTGAATAAAGGAGATAGGTGCCGGGATCATTAATGCCTTTGGGAATCTCTTTCGGTTGCACACGAACCTTAGACGACTTATTTTGTTTGGATGAGTAATACAACACAGCGATATTTACCAGTAAAAAATATTTACGTATTTTATGATGTATGGCATGTAATCAATGTCATTTCAACAGTAACAAATAGATATATTTACAAAAATCCATAAGGCATTATTATCCAATATTGCATAAGAATCGTATAGTGTAATTACTTAATTGATACTAAAACAACACATCCGAAACATTCAAGTGGTAAGGAAACTAATTAAAAAAGCACATGTCTGTTGCCTCAGGGCCAATTATAGAAAGGATGACTAGATTGAAATGTGATTGCAAAAATATCTAATTTATAAGTTTAGCAGAAGAAGAAGAAATTTTTAAGTACCATTAACATAGTACAACGAAATACTATAGATAATAAAATTTCTCATGCATTTCATTCAAAAATCAAGATTCCTTGGCCTTGGAGAAATATTCTTTGCCAAGACTTAACCGTAGCATACGTTACACAAAAGATTGTACAAAAGTCATAACTGAATAACACCTTTCATCCAAAAAAGAACACACACACACACACACGCACGCACGCAAACACAAACACACACGCACGCACACACGCACGCACGCACGCACGCACGCACGCACGCACCCACCCACCCCCCCCCCCCCCCACACACATATATATATACGTGTGTGTGTATGTATGTGTAGCAGAGCCAAGTAATACATTAAACTGCATCATATAGTTGTTTCGTCCTTCTACTATAAGTGACACGAAACGAACAAGAATTATCTTTTGGTTTCCTGTAACGTTGTGTTATTTCTACCGACTTTAGATGGCACAGAAAGGCAGATTTATGCCAAAATGGTGATGTCATCCTCATTTGATGACAATAATAATTTAGTGGCAGAACTGCATGTTGTGGTAAGGCTGTGTAATGAGACAATTGATAGTGGTGGCATTTGATGCTAGCAATTAATGATTTAGACCTGTCTCTGTA